CTCAACCTTCTCTGAGTTGCCAGGATGGTCCCAACCCCTTAAGAGTCCCCTAGGCAATGTTGAACCGAACCTCTTCCTTGCATCAATGAAACTACTCGTTTTTCAGCCGAGCTTACGTTTTTGTTCACTGCGTAGCGCATACACCTCTGATGAAAGCAAGCTATATACCGTTGGAAAGCAGACACCTGATGCTAACGTCTGTCCAAGTTTCAGTCTCGTTTGTTATCGGAGCTGATCGTGACGACGTTTTGAACAGAGGCGGTTTGAAGTCGTCAGATTCTGCTTAGGTGGTTTCAAGGGCATCTACGACCCCTAAGTGGACTCTAGACTATAACAACCCTAAACCCAAACCCCTCTGCCCTGCCTGCCCCACCTCAGGATCCTCACCCAAACCCCTCTGCCCTGCCTGCCCCACCTCAGGATCCTAAACCCAAACCCCTCTGCCCTGCCTGCCCCACCTCAGGATCCTCACCCAAACCCCTCTGCCCTGCCTGCCCCACCTCAGGTTCCTCGCCCAAACCCCTCTGCCCTGCCTGCCCCACCTCAGGATCCTCACCCAAACCCCTCTGCCCTGCCTGCCCCACCTCAGGATCCTAAACCCAAACCCCTCTGCCCTGCCTGCCCCACCTCAGGATCCTCACCCAAACCCCTCTGCCCTGCCTGCCCCACCTCAGGATCCTCACCCAAACCCCTCTGCCCTGCCTGCCCCACCTCAGGATCCTCACCCAAACCCCTCTGCCCTGCCTGCCCCACCTCAGGATCCTCACCCAAACCCCTCTTCCCTGCCTGCCCCACCTCAGGATCCTAAACCCAAACCCCTCTGCCCTGCCTGCCCCACCTCAGGATCCTCACCCAAACCCCTCTGCCCTGCCTGCCCCACCTCAGGATCCTAAACCCGAACCCCTCTGCCCTGCCTGCCCCACCCCAGGATCCTCACCCAAACCCCTCTGCCCGGCCTGCCCCTTCTTACGATGCCCAAACATACCTCCAAACACTGCCTGCCCCACTACTTGATGATAAAACATACCCCGTGCTTCCCCACATGGTTGTGCCTCCTTGTAGGAGGGAATGAGCGGGTCAGCTCGTGGGGGAACGACAGATCCGGGCTCCCTTTTGCCAACGCCCGGTTTGTGGATGCGGTGAAGGCATCATTTCGGGATTACGCTGTTGGGCGCAGGCTGGCCCTAAAGACGTACCACATAGCCTGGTCTCTCATGGTGGTGAGACTGGTTTTGTAAATCACATGTACTTGCCCTAATGCTCAATCTTTTCTATTGCACGTGAACGACTTGGGACCCTTGGGGGCTAACACCGGTAACATGCAACTCTGCCTTGCTGCTGGTCCCTGTAATCCAAACCCGTTTCAGATTGATCAAGGCTTGGCGCGCTTCAAGGAGACCGACATGAACCTGCCGAACTCCCACAGGAAAAACACTAGATGGATGAGGAGTTTGACTCGGGGGGTGCGGAGGATTGTAAGGGATCACTTTACACGCCACACCCCCGTGTACAACGCAGAGTTGCAGGGCTTCAAGTGGGGCACGCGTGGGCTCTATGTACATGAGTCCGGGTTTCAGGCGTTCCGGGGGACGGCTCAGGCTGATAACGAGGAGGAGGAGGAGGAGGAGGAGGAGGAGCAAGAGGATTTCAGTGAGAAGGAGGAGGAGCAAGAGGAGGAAGAGGAGGAAGAGGAGGAGGAGGATGAGGATGAGGAGGATGAGGAGGAGGATGAAGAGGAGGAAGAGGAAGAGGAGGATGATGAGCAGGGGGGGAAGGAGTTGAGAGGGAGCAGAAGGCACAAGAGAGGCAAAAACATGGGTGGCAGGAGGGGAAAGTGATGTGCAGGCAGACAAGGGGGCAAGCAGGACGGGTGGCAGTGGAGGAAGTTGGAGAGGCATCGGGTGAGGCAGGAGGGTATCGGTTAACGGGGAGAGCAGGGGCGTTTAACGGGTATGGATAAAGGAAAGGCATCAGGATAGGCAACAAGGGTAAGAAGCCGAGAGTCAACAAGGAAAGGCAGCAGGGGAGGCAACATAGAAAGGCACCACGGGAGGCAACAGGGAGAGGGAGCAGGGAAGGCAACATAGAATGACAGCAGGGGAGGCAACAGAGAAAGGCACCACGGGAGGCAACAGGGAGAGGGAGCAGGGAAGGCAACATAGAATGACAGCAGGGGAGGCAACAGAGAGGCAGAATGGGAGGCAACATAGAATGGCAGCAGGGGAGGCAACAAAGGGAGGCAGCAGGGGAGGCAACATTAAATAGCAGCAGGGTAGGCAACAGAGAGAGGGAGTAGGGGAGGCAACATAGAATGGCAGCAGGCGAGACAACAGAGAGAGGCAGCATGGGAGGCAACATAGAATGGCAGCAGGGGAGGCAACAAAGGGGCAGGGGAGGCAACAAAGGGAGGCGGTAGGGGAGGCAACATTGAACAGCAGCAGGGTAGGCAACAGAGAGAGGCAGCATGGGAGGCAACTAGAATGGCAGCAGGGGAGACAACAAAGGGAGGCAGCTTGGGAGGCAACATTGAATGGCAGCAGGGGGGAGGCAACATCCCGTGGCAGTAGGGGAGGAGTGCATATTTAATATGCGACCGTTTTGCAGGTTGCCTGGGTGGCGGAGGAGCAGTGGAGGCAGCATGTGAGGCAGTAGTGGAGGAGCAGTGGAGGCAGCATGAGTAGCATCAGGGGGGGGAGGCCGGGAGGTAAGAGGGGAGTTCCAGGAGAGGCCCAATGTGGAGCAGCAGGAGCAGGCATGAGAGGAGACCGCATAGGGGGCAGCAGCGTGGAGACAGCAAGGGGACAGGAGTATAAGCAAGAGAGGAGACAGGAAGTGTGTAGCCGTGCAGGTTAGCATTAGATGGAGCAGTATCTGTAGTCAAGAACTCTCTAGGCCAAGAGCTGGAGAGATGGGGCGGGGCTGCATCCGATGATGGCTTGCGAAGTAGGTAGGAGGATGGTGCAGATTAATCCACCCTAGCAGGACTACGCAACGCGTGTTTAGGCAGCTGTTTTGTGTGCCAAGCCAACTCTGTAATGAGATTAATAATCATTGAGCAATGCATTCATGATGTGCGTGTACACCTAAGAATGGCTAATAGACCTTCCATCAAACAACGAGAATCACTTGATAAAGGTTCATATACAATCTTCTTGAACTTTGGTCCTAAGCTCTGCTAAAGAGTATATGAGTGGAAAGTAATCTCCCTGAACTCTCCGAACGAAGTCTTATACATCTCCGAAGAAACTCAGACAGACCCTAATCTGAAGGTAATACAAACATGTCATCACCTGCAAAGCATTCGACAAAGCATTCGAAAAAATGTTTATACTTTCACCGAAAAGCGTTTTGGCCCCTACGTTTTAAAAGCATTTGAAAATACTTCACCACAACTTTTTACAATAGGTTTCTGGTCATATGATTTTTGTGATGTGGATTTGCAAGAGCCGTAACGGTCCGAAAAGGTGCTGCACGGTTCAGTAAGTCGGACTCCGAGCATGAGCAGGCTGGACAGCACGCGTAACCTCGAGGTGGTCAGACGCACCTGGTGGTTACCAGCAGGCCTCTTACAGCACGACGACACGCCGTCGTCGTGTAACGTCAGCCAACCAAGGGTCGCATCGAACACAAGGGGGGGTCTGCGCGTGACACAACCACGCGGCAGCGTCGGCCGACCCTGGGGTCCGTCGTCCGGGGCAGAGGGGTTCGTTGACGGCTCGCCCATTGAATTCCCCAACGCCAATTGCCGCATCCAACAGAACGGGTCATCGGGCAACATCATCTGCATGACGGAATAAACCCGCCTCGTCCCAGCGGAACCACCGGTTCACCGGATTTCTGGAATATATATTGTCGCGTTTTTTTTGTTTCCCGACGCGTCGCCTCGTGCAGCACACGAGAAGCGGGACCGGGACCCATCCCCCCCTCCCCTCCCCCTCCGTGGAAACGCCCGCCAGCTGTGTAATAACGTTCCCCTCGATCCGGCGATGACGTCAGCTGGTCCCCTCTCGGGGCGAGACGGAACTCTAGCGCAGAGACACGTGTGACTGCATGGCACGCTACTCTGTAGAATCACCCCTCTGTTGCGTGCGCGAATGAACTTGTTAGGGAAACGATCAGATTGGGGCCCCGAAGTTCTAGGAATAGAGCCAACTTGGGACCTCGTGTGTCGCGATGTTTCGAACCTGGTCCGGACCTGTCTCTAACCAATTTCGGGCCTCACCCACGCGCTCCGTCAGACCTGACCACACGACGTGACGGATTTCTGAACGGACAAGCTGGCAAAAAATATAAACCCCATACGGGCATGCATCCGGTCAGGAAGGCATCAACCCTAAACACATTGTCGCGTGTTTTTAGGGTTGATGCCTCCCCAATTTTATGCCATCCAATCGGGTTTTATTTTCTTACCACTCCGATAATATTTTTTGGGCTAAAATGTTTATTTCTGGATTATTTCGCTGAAGTATCTGTAGTGCCCATTGTGAATGGGCTGACGATCACTGCTCCCGTGAACCAGGGTGCTAGCGAAAACCGTCAAGCCCAAGCCAGCAGGTGGTGACGTGGCGAGCTCGGCCTATCTGCCTAGGCTTGTGGGTGGCTTCGGGCCTCCTTCGTAGGGTCGCGAATCACGAGGCCCCAAGTTGGCCATCTTTCTGCTAATCCGAGGCCCCAGTATGATCACTCCCCAACTTGTTACAGAACAAATTTCGCAATTCGAATGTGCACATTGTCAGACTGCACGCTGTAAAACTTTAGCTTTTACATTGTTGGCTTTTTCTACTAACTGCAAGCACTGAAGACACTAAGGTTACACTGCATCAAACTGAATTGAATTGAAGGTGTGTGCCAGTAAAAACGCCACACCATGCGATTGGGATCTCACAACAGCTCTAAACGGATCAGACGAATGGATTACACTCTTTTGTCTACATCCAAATGGCCATGGATACATGGGAACTTCCACCCAAATCATGTGCGGTGCGCATGCACCATTCGTTTCAAAAGCGTCGCATGTCTTTGGGCGGCCGGAAATTGATAGGATGCGTCTCTGGAGTGGCATTTTCGTCCTCCTTCCACATCTTGATGGTTTTATCCGCCTCACATGTCACCAGGCGCTTGCCCGTCACGTCAAAGCCCATCGCATAGATGCCCGCCTCGCTGTCAAGCGAGCCTGTGGAGGCAGGAGAAGCGGACGGAGGGAGGAGTAGGAGCAAGAGGGAAAGGGCAGATCGAATGCGTGAAGAGCACTTGTGTGGTAGAGTTGAAAGAGCGGTCCAAAGGAACAGAAGGGACAGGAGAAACCACCGGCAAGAGAGAGTTTAAGTCCATGTTTTGAGCACATAGAGCACAGAGGGAGAGCGACGCACCGGGCTGCACGATGGTCTGCGTCTGCTGAAAGTTGTGTCCACTCTTCCAGTCCCAGAACCAGATGGACCCGTTATCACCTGCACAGCGAATGGCCGCATGTGGATGGGGATGATGGGGAATGATGCCAGATGTCACCGCACGAGATGGGGGGGAAGCGACAGCTTTTAAGTCGGGCTAGTAAGTCAATGTAGACACACGCATGCGGGAAAGTACGGAGAATTGACGATAATAGGAGGGAAAGAAAGAAAGAGCAGCAAGAGCACACGAGTGTGAGAGAGATTTCAGCTGGGAAACGAGACAAGTAAAGCGGAAGGGTGGAAGGGCAGAGGGGAGGACCTCCTGAGGCGAGCACGTTGTCCTCGTTCACATCTGCGGTGTTGATGATGGTGCGCTGCTGTGAGCTGCGGTGGAGAACGATGCAGATGGGTGGGGTGGCGTGTGGAAAACAGTGGTGGAGAGTGATGCACAGGGGGGAATGGGGGGGGCAGGGGAGAAGGGCAGACGATGCTTCAGAATGATGGGGTAAGACGTTAACCAGTTTGTGTAACAGCGCATATGGAGCATAAACTCGCTCTTAAGCAGTTACCGTAACCGCAAAAAATCATGATGCACAAGAGGATGCCACAAAAACATAGCATGATGTCCAGCTGAAGGGAGGCGGGGGGGGGGAATTGAGCGCCTCACAGCATGTTGTGCAGGAACTCGCCCTTGGGCAGTTTGTACTTCAGCGCAAAGGCATGGCATGTGCACACAAGGAATGAACTAACAACAAGAGAAGGGCGGGCGGGCAGAGAGGGCCTCACAGCATGTTGTGCAGGAACTCGCCCTTGGGCAGTTTGTACTTCTTTATGTTGTCCGCTGATGCCGACACAAACGTCTTCCTGCCAGGGGGGATGGGCGATTGGGGGCAGCCAGGGATGGGCAGGCGTGAGCGAGGCGAGGGAGGGAAGGGGAGGGGAGGGGATGGGAAGGGAGAGGAGTGGGGGGGAGGGGAGGGGAGGGGAGGGGAGGGGATGGGAAGGGAGAGGAGTGGGGGGGAGGGGAGGGGAGGGGAGGGGAGGGGAGGGGAGGGGAGGGGAGGGGAGGGGAGGGGAGGGGATGGGAAGGGAGAGGAGTGGAGGGGAGGGGAGGGGAGGGGAGGGGAGGGGAGGGGATGGGAAGGGAGAGGAGTGGGGGGGGAGGGGAGGGGAGGGGAGGGGAGGGGAGGGGAGGGGAGGGGAGGGGAGGGGAGGGGAGGGGATGGGAAGGGAGAGGAGTGGAGGGGAGGGGAGGGGAGGGGAGGGGAGGGGAGGGGAGGGGAGGGGAGGGGAGGTGAGGGCAGGGGAGGATGAAAGCGAGTGTGGCAGAATCATCAGGTGCAGGAGCATGGTGAAGAGCAGAGGTAGTGGTGTGAGGTGCCAAAGGGCGGAGGGTTGAAGAGATGAACTGATGCACCCAGCAGGAGTCCATCCGTTCAACTCATTGCGGATTGCACGTGTTGAGAAATTGCAAATTGCAGGGCAGGACACGACGAGCACTGGGAAGCCAAAGCGGGAAAGGAGGGCGTACTCAAAGGGGTGCTTGGCGAGGGCTCTGACAGACTTCTTGTGATAGGTTAGGGTTGACATGGCCTTGCCTGGTGCCATGTGGGGGCGCACAACCAAGATATGCACGCACTTGGACTTTTCCATCACCACTGTGCCCATCTCAAACTTGCCCACATGCATGCGCAAAAAGGCCAGCGGCAGAATGCAAAGTTGCACAATACCGGAGCGAGGAATTGCACTCACCCGCTGCAAGGTCCCACAACTTGACGGTGGTGTCGTGCGATCCTGTTATCACTTGCGGGTCCTGATGGGTGCAGGTGGCACACACGGGGAGGGAGGGGGTTGGGGAAGACAGGTGGGGACGGGCGGTGGGGAAGTTGGGTGGGTGGGAAAAGGGGGTGGGAAAGGTTGTGGGGATCCGGCGCCCATGTGTGCTCAGTGCATTCATGCCCACGTCCCTGCATACCCAGGGATGTGCACGCCCATCCCCATATGGCACAGCACAGCATCTGATGGCAGCCTGTGCGATGACGGAGCAGACGGTGTTGTCTTGATGCCATGCCATGCCGTGCCGTGCCGTGCCGTGTCGTGCCGTGCCGTGCCGTGCCGTGCCGTGCCGTGCCGTGCCGTGCCATGCCATGCCGTGCCATGCCATGCCATGCCATGCCGTGCATACCCACAGTGCATTGCACGCATGGGATGGCACGTAACAGCAGAGCACAGCACAGCACAGCAGGGCAGGGAAGTGCAGGGCAGGGCACTGACGGTGGCCTGACATGCAGTGCATAGCAGGCATGGCATGACATTCTGGGCAAGGCACAACAGTGCAGGGCAGGGTACTCACAGTGGCCTGCGCGATGACGGAGCAGACGGTGTTGTCGTGGCCGGCGAGAGCAAAGATCTGCGCCTTGGTGCGCACGTCCCACACCTGTTGCATCCATGCCCATGTACAGAACAGAGCGGTGGGGTGGGGTGGGTGGGGTACAGGTGCGCACAGACACAGGGGTAAATGCGTGCATGCATGCGGCATGGCATTGGCCGGCAAAGATCTGCGCCTTGGTTGGTGCGCACGTCCCACACCTGTTGCATTCATGCCCCATGCACAGGGTAGACACGTGGATACACATGGCATGGCACAAAGGCACGGGCGTGGCACAGATTAGGCAAGGCACAAAAGGTATGGCAAGCAGGGGCATGGCATGGATATATATCGCATGGCATGGTACGGCACGGCATGGAATGGAATGTCATGGCATAAGCATAATCACGTCGGGGGGGGAAGGAGGCGGTTCAAGAGAGTGCAGAGGAGAGTGAGTGGTGCATTGGGGTGAGCTTGTTCGTGTTCTCCCCCCATCGTCCACCCCATATCATCACAAACAAACCACAATTACCACCAGTGCCAAATTCCACCACATTCCACCGCATCCCACAGCCTCCCAAAGCTCCCCACAGCCTCCCAAAGCTCCCCACAGCCACCTACACTCCATACCAGCCTCCCATAGCCCCCCCCCAGATTTCACCGCATTCCACCACATCCCAACCCAATGACTGATCCAAAAAACAGAGTCCCGGCCACCGGTGAGAAGCATGTCGAGCATGGGGTGCAGCGCAAGGCAGTACACGCCACCCAGCCTTATCACTACCACATCCACCACATTCAACCGCACAGCAACGCATCCCACTGCATCCCAACCCCACTGACTGACCCGACAGACGGAGTCTCTGCCGCCCGTGAGAAGCACGTCCAGCATGGGGTGCAGCGCAAGGCAGTATACTCCACTCAGATGCCCGTGGTACGAGCGAATCACCTGCCGCCACGTGGCAGAGGAAGAAAGATCACAAAAGTCAGAAAGGATTGCATAAGATGGCACAGTGTGAAGGAGATCACCCAAAGAGGGGAGTGCAGATGTCATCATTGCACAACCTGATTGCAGGCAGGCAGGCGTGCGTGTGCACAGGTACGAGGTCCCAGCACTTGACGAGCTTGTTGTGTGCAGTGCAAGGCATGTGTGTGTGCTGGGCATGAGGGGCAGCAGCAGCAGCAGCGAGTGACGCACCTTGTTGTACTCGAGGTCCCAGCACTTGACGAGTTTGTCATCACCCGCTGAGAACATGTAGGGGTACTTGGGACTCACTGCCAGGCCTGGTGGAGGAGAGGGGGAGGGGTGGACGAAGAGAAAGAGAGGACGAAAGGCTTGTGAGCAGGTGTGAGGCAAGGTGTGCTGAGTACGGGGACGCAAAAGAAGGGAGTGGGAAGGTTTTGACTTGCCCAGATGTGCGCTGCGCAGTGCCAACATGAATTAGCAGCCGCACGCAAGCCCATCAGCACGCGAAAGAAAAGTGCTTCTGAGACATCTCAAAAAATTAGCAGCCGCACGCAAGCCCATCAGCATCAGCACGCAGAATCTCCTCAATGAGCCCTGTGAGAGCCAGACTCCTTGCCTCAATCAGCACGTTTCTTTGCCAATAGAAAACACATCAACCCCTCGTCCCCTCTCCGCACCCCTCCTGATCTCGCCCCACCTCCACTCGCCTCACCGCATCCCCCCTCACCTTGGATCTGCTCAACAACCCCTGTGAGAGACAGCCGGCCAACGCACACCCTCACCTCTTCTCATCCCCCCCCCCTCACCCCTCCTCACCTCGCCTCACCCCTCCTCACCTCGGATCTGCTCAATGTGCCCTGTGAGAGTCACCTTCAGCTTGTTTTGAGAGCCGACCAAAACACACGCTCACCTCTCTGCATACCTCCCCAACTCGCCGCGACTCCGCTCACCTCACCTCACCTCACCTCACCTCACCCGTCCTCACCACTCCTCACCTCGGATCTGCTCAATGTGGCCTGTGAGAGTCAGCTTCAGCTTGCCTGTTGCCAGCTCCCAAATCTGTGCAAGATGTTGCCCAGGGGAAGGAAAGGGAGGGGGGGAGAGGGCGGTGGTAGTAAGAGGAGGGGTGTGTGAATGCAGTGGCAGGGAGTACCTGAAGGCTGAATTATATTACCAGGGGGGTTGGCTTCGCTTCATGTCAGAAACAGTTGGCACAAACCCAGTCTGAAAATGCTGTTTTGACCCATTCCCTTGCGACCAGCGACACCCAGTTGAGCCCACCATGATGGTGCGATCAGCAGAGCCAGTGCAGAACCACTCGTTGCCCAGCTCAAATGTCACTGAGCGCACCCACCCACCCCATGTGCCCTCATGCACATACACACGGCGCAACGCGCAAGCTGACAGACACACACCGGGCCCACACTAGCCTACCTTGATGGTGCGATCAGCAGAGCCAGTGCAGAACCACTCGTTGCCCGGCTCAAAGGCCACCGAGCGCACCCACCCCATGTGCCCACTGATCACCTGTCGGGGCGATTAGGGAGGAAAGGGGGGGTGGGGTAGGTAGGGAGATGCGAAGGACAGGCAGGGAAGGCCGTAATTTACCATTCTAAACAGCCGCCTTATGAGGTAACGTTTTTAACAGTGAAAAATCAGAAATAAACCCGTTTCTTTGAACTTTGGACATGAGGAGGATTTTGAACTTTGAGCTTAAGAATCAGAAATAAACCCGTGAGCAGGAATATGGAGAAGGCCCGGTCAAAGGCAAGCGAACGACGGTAAGTAGGAAAGAACGTATATGAACGAAGGGAACTTCTACACATAAAATACCCAACTGTCAAGACCCAGTTGATCAAAGTAATAACAAGCCCAAGGCGTAGTTGGGTTGGGTTGGGTAGGGTTGAGTGGCGGTGGGTTGGGTTGCACTGACCCGATAGTTCTTCCAGGGCGGGTGCCACTCGGGCTTGGGCCACTTGCTGGGCAGACGACGAATGATGGCTGCACTGGGCTTGTACCTGGTGATGGTGGGGGGGTGAAGGGGAAGAAAGGAGTGGAAGGTAGATCGGGAGGGAGAGGGTGGGGTAGAAAGAAGTGGGGTTTGATGGAGGACTAAAGGTGTGAGGAAAAAAAGGAAAAGACACAAATGAGGTGGGTTAAGAGATCAGAAAAACAACCCGGACAAGCCTGTGAGACAAGAAAGTTCCGGGGGACTCAGAAAGAAGAATGACATTGAAAATATATATAGAGATAAAGGGGTGGAGGGAGGCGCAGCAGAATGCCATCATGAACGCCCGCATCAGGACGACACTACGAGTGCCTGTGACGCCACCCGCACCTGTCTGCGACGGTGACGGCATTGGAGGGAGCAGCCGCAGCAGCAGCGCCAGGCGCCGTGAGCGGCACCATGGCCCCCTGGCCTGTGGAACTGGGGGGGATTACGATGGGAGGCATGATGGGGGGATGGGGAGACAGAGGGATGGATGGGGCCGGAAGCAGAAACTCAGAGGTGAGAGTGCGGCACAGGGGAGAGAAGGGGGGAGGGGGGGCCTTGGGGGGGGTGAGGAGGAAACGGGGAAACTGGTGGGCGTTCACCGCACATGGTCGAAGGGAGTTGAGTACGGGAAGACAAGGTGTGGATGGGCAAGCGCAAGGGCAAAGCTAGACTAGAGTTTCCCTTGACCAATGAGCCCAGGATGTGAACACGTGGACCAACCACGTGGTTACGGGCTTGTCATGCTGCACTGCACGTGAACCATGAGAATGGAGCGCAGCCAGAACTCACGAGCACCGTGCGTGTGACTCTTGGTTACCACACGTGCTAACTGTGGAATTGTGGTAAGCACGGTGGTAACCCTGTTACGAGGTAACCTGGTAACCAGCTGACCTGGAGGCGAGCACAAGAGCATTCGAGGCACCAGGTGCAAGGCCACCTGCGGCACTGCTGCCTGCACTCCCTGTCATGCGCGGGGAGAGGGACAAGGAGAGGAGAATAGGAGTGGTGCGGAACATGAGAGAGGAGAGCCCTTGATAATGCGTCTGGTGCACACATGTGGGTTGAGCAGAGGAGGTTGAGCTCTTAATTCACGTGGCCGAGTGCGATGCTGGCCTCATGGTGGGATGGAGGGGCAGGGGGAGAGATTGGAGACACGCGCTGGGCAGCGGCGGTATGGGAAAACGATCAAAGGGGTAGTGAGGCGTGATGATGGCGCGGCGAAAGGGGGCAACGGCTTACCAGGCGCGGAGGGGAGCAGCGGCTTACCAGGCGCGGAGGGGGCCGCGGGAGGCCCTGAGAGCCCCACTTGCGGCTGTGCCGCCGCCTGCTCCACCACCGCCGCCAGCGACGGCAGGCTTCCGCCCGCGCCTGCGCCCCCCGCCGCTGGCGCGCCCGCGCCCGCGGGCTGCGCGGAGTCCTTGCTGACTTGCCCCGCGGGCAGCGGCGGGGGGAGATCGCGCACGACGAGGTACTCGTCGCGGATCTGCGCGGGTGCGAGGCGAGACGGAAATTAGGGTTTGGGTGAATGCGGTGTTTGACGCGATGGATTAGGGTGAAGTAAGGTTGAGCAGGGACTGGCTAACTGCAGACAGACAGGGTGCTATGAGAATTCAGGAATAATAATAATTAAAAACAAAACAAAACAAAACAAAACAAAACAGGCGCGTTACGCTGTGAAGCGTCGCGAGTTAGTGAGTAGCGAGAATGAGCAGGGAAAGCCCTGATTGAGTGCAGAAAGCGAGGCGGTTGGTGGCTGATTGCGCGCCGAGCGGAGGTGTGCGAGCTCACCTTCACTGCTTGTCGAATTGCACGGCTGGGATTTGTCGGAAGACCAGCCGAGCGAAGAAGGACGTCGATGGACACAGAAGGGCGATAAAAGGGACAGACTGAATCAACTCGGTCATGGTGCAAAACGAACGAGAGAGATCGAGAATTGAAAATGAGTTTCAGCGGGCGACAGAAAACGTGAGGAAGCGCAGCGGAGATGATTAGAGCGCAGCGCAGCCAGCGATGGTGACGGGCGAGGGAATCAGTCAGACCTGGTTGGGTCGCGAACAAATCCATCGAGCTTCTGTTGCGAATCGAAGAACTCGTAAGTGCGCTTCAGCGATCGGAGGACTAGCTTCTTGAGCGACTGAGGTTCCAGATCGTCAGCCATTGTCGCTACTGCCGCCACAGGAGCCATGGCGGCCTCAGATATTCCCGCAAAACATTAGTTTGGCTGGTCAGCTTCCCAGCAAAGAGACGATATTTTTTCGCGAACTGTTTACTCATGCGTACAAGTGATGCTACAGCACACTGCATGCTTTTGGATGCCATTCTTACATCATTTCTTACTCATATGTCATTCTTCAGACCTGTATTTCAACAACAGATAAGTGCCCATATGGTTTTCTGGAAAATATAACTATTTCGGAGGTTATATAAGCTTTAAATTTATGGAATCAGTTATGCTAATTTTTCGTAACATAATAATTGTGAATTCGCTTATTTCTCTATCCAGTTGGGAGAAAATAGTCTGGAGGATGCTGTGGTCTACAGTGATGATTAGATAGGACGAAAAACCAGTAAATATCATGTTGTTAGGGAGTAATTACTGACTAAAACTATCATGTTGTTAGGATGAACTACCAGTAACTATCATGTTGTTAGGGAGTAATTACTGACTAAGTCTCTTCCGTCTATCAAACCTAGCAGCTCTTTAGCGAGTCCCTGACTCACTAGCCAACCCTCCCCACGCAAACTCCCTCCAGCACCTGCACCTCTTTCTGGCAGACCTGCTCTCCGTCTTGATCACACGCCTCGTATCCAACCCGCGCCGCGACCCGCGTGCCACCGTAACTCTACCGCACCGCGTACTGTTCCTCTATCCACCCTTGACTCAGCCGCGATGGCGCTCAAGTTCTTGAACAAGAAGGGGTGGCACACGGGGAGTCTGCGCAACGTGGAGAAGGTGTGGAAGGCGGAGCAGCGGGAGGCGGACGAGCGCAAGAAGGTGGACGAGCTGCGCAAGCAGATCGCGGAAGAGCGCGAGGCGGAGGAGTTCCAGCGCCTGCGCGAGCAGGCGGGGCTCGTCCCGTAAGTGCCCGCAGATTTTTTTATTTTCTACATTGTATTTCTCTGCAAACTACTCTATTTTCCCTTCCGTCGAGGAAGTAATATTTGTAGCGTGGCACGATGCGACGGGCCGTCGGGCCTCACGCCGCTCGCCCCGGCTCGTCTCTTAAAAAGACCCTTGGCCTCGCATATCCCACCTCTCCCTCAAACCCGCCCTCCCCGCCCGCCCGGCGCACAGGCTTCAACAGCGGGTGGACTTTCTGTATGAGTCAGGGCTGTCGACCGGCAAGGGCATGGAGGGAGGGGGCATGGGCGGCATGGGAGGGGCGTCGACGGACGAGCTCATGTCGCAGAAGGTGGACTTCTCCGCTTCCGCGCACACAGGCGTCCCCCCGCCCATCTCCAAGGTGCGCCCCACATGCCCCCACTCGTCCCTCCCTACGCATCCACTCATGCTCCCCTCCCCCCCCCCCCCCTTTCCCCTCTCTTCTCTTCCCTCTAATCTTCCCCCCTTTCTTTCTTCTCCCCTCCTCCCCGTCTTTCCCCTCCCCCCCTCCTCCCGCACTGCAGGCGTCCACTGTCCCCGGCTCTCTGTTCGAAGCGGATGGGGAGCAGGGCGAGGGGCCGCCAGTGGTGAGTGCAAACGAGATGTGGCGGCGGTTGCACTCGGACCCTCTCGTGCTCATCCGCCAGCGTGAGCAGGAGGCGTTGACTCACATCAAGAACAACCCCGTTAAGATGCAGATGATCCGCGCTCAGGTGAGGGGGAGGGGGGGAGGGGTGGGGAAGGGTGATGCGGAGTTGTGATGGGAGCAGCCAGGCAGCACAGCAGGTGGCACAACAGGCAGCGCGAGCAGGAGGCACTGGCTTGCATCCGCAACAACCCCGTCAATATGCAGATGATCCGCGCTCAGGTGAGGCGGAGGGGGAGGGGGAAAGGGGGGGGGAGACGGAAGGCAGGCAGGCAGGCAGGCAGGCAGGCAGGCAAGCAGGCAGGCAGGCAGGCAGGCAGGCAGGCAGGCAGGCAGGCAGGCAGGCAGGCAGGCAGGCAGGCAGGCAGGCAGGCAGGCAGGCAGGCAGGCAGGCAGGCAGGCAGTGTGGCAGACAGCGCGAGCACGAGGCTCTGACTTGCATCCGCAGCAACCCGGTTAAGATGCAGATGATCCGCGCTCAGGTGAGGGGAGAAGGGAGAAGGGGGGGGGAAATGAGAGGGTGGTGGGGAGGGTGGGGAGAATGGAGAGGTTGGGGAGGGTAGCGAGGGCCACACAACAGGTAGGATGCAGATAGGGAGCAAGCAGATGAAATGGGAAATGTGAAGGGATAGGGAAGGCAGGGGAAATCAGTCCTTGGTGTGCTTGGATGGGATGGACTTGCATGCTCATTTCCCACTCTCTTTGACTTGACTTGTCTCGTTGGTTCTTTCACAGGCTGAGGCGGTTAAGGGCAAGACACAAAGCAAGAAGGAGAGGAAGAGGGAGAAGAAGGAGAGGAAGCGGAAACGCAAGGAGGAGCGGCGGGCGAGGAGGGAGAGGAAGAAGCGGAGGAAGCAGAGCGAGAGCGAGAGTGAGAGCAGCAGCAGTGGCAGCGACAGCGATGGCAGTGGGAGCGAGGAGAGGGGGGAGGAAAGGCGTGGTGGGGGCAGAGGGGGAGGGGAAGGGAAAAGGGAGGGAGGGACAGGGCAGGGTGGGATGGGGCAGGGCGGGATGGGGCAGGGCGGGATGGAGAAGCGTGGCAGAGGGAACGAGCTGGATGTGGGTAGTAGAGGGGATGATGCAGGTGAGGGGGGGAGGAGGCATGGTTGGGAAGGTGAGAGAGGGAGCAGGGAGGCTGGTGGCAGGGAGGGAAGGTTTGAAGGGAGTGTGGGGAGGAGTGATGGGGGTGGCAGGGAGGGGAGGCGTGGCAGGGATTATGAGGAGGGGAGGATGGAGCGTGCGAGAGGGGTGGGTGGAGAAGGGGAAAGGCGAGTGAGGGAGGAGCTGAGGGCTGGTGGCGGTGGGAGGAGGGATGGGGAGGAGAGGAGTGAGAGGGGAGGGAGAGGTGAGAGGGAAGGGAGAGGTGAGAGGGATGGGAGAGGTGAGAGGGATGGGAGAGGTGAGAGGGAGAGGGATGCTCAGGGTAGGAGTGAGAAAGAGAGGTATGTGAGGGAGAGGAGCGAGAGGGCAGGAGGGGATGAGAGGGAGAGGTATGGCAGGGAGAGGAGTGAGAGGGGAGGTGGGGACGAGAGAGAGAGGTATGGCAGGAGGGGGAAGGATAAGGATGTGATTGAGCCAGTGGGAAGAGGGGGGCGATGGGAAGAGCAAGGGAGAAGAGTGAAGGCGGGACGAGAAGCAGCACTTGCACAGGAGATAGAGGAAGGGAAAACGAGGTATGTTGAGGGAGGGAGAGATGGGAGGGAGGGAGGAAGGAGAGGTGAGGCAGCAGAGGTGGTGAGAGGCGCGAGGCAGAGGCATGACAGCCCTTCAGGGAGTGAGGGGGAGAGTGATGGTGCGGGTGAGCGTGGGGGTGCGGGTGGCAGGGGTGGCAGTGGCAGGAGTGCAGCGCACACAGCACAGGAGGGTGGGGAGAGGAGTGGAGATCTGGTGGCGAGGACAGGAGGCACGCGGCAGAGGCATGACAGCCCTTTGGGAGGCACAAGGCAGAGGCATGACAGCCCTTTGGGAGGCACAAGGCAGAGGCACGACAGCCCTTTGGGAGGCACAAGGCAGAGGCATGACAGCCTGTCAGATGGCAGCGATGGGGAGGGGCGCAGAGCAGCGCCTCTCTACGGCCTCTCCTTCCACCGCATGGCCCCCTCCCCTCCTCGCACCGCCCCACCTGCACCCCTTGCCCGTGCACCGTCACCCGCTGCTGCTGCTGCTGCCCCCCTGGAGTCTGGTGTTGTGGCAGGCGCAGGCAGGAGAGAGGAGGGCCTTGGCAGTGGCAGCCAGAATAGGCCGGGGGGTGGGTGGCAGGGGCGGCAGAAAATGACGGAGGAGGAGAGGCGGCGGCGGCTGGCGGAGATGGAGGAGAATGCGGAGGCGGTGGAGGGGGAGAGGCGGGAGCGCATCCAGTGGGCGGCGCAGCGAGATGCGCGCGAGGAGCAGAAGAGTGATGCTGCTGCCCCCCGTGGGACCTTCCTCCGGGTAGGCTTGCCATCGCTTGTTTGCTCCCGTTTTTTCACTTCTCTTAATTGCATCCGCATCTACTACCTTTCTGTTGTACATTCCCTACCAAGTTGTGATAGCTTCTTGTGTCGATTTTCTGGTGCTGGTTGTGTCAATGAAACCTACTGTAAGAGGTCATGCTTGTGGTTGTGGTGGGGTGAGCAGGAGGCGCAGAAGGAGGTGTATGGGGCGGGCAGTGGGGCGGCAGGGGATGCGGCGCTGCAGGCAGCAGCAGGCACGGGCATGTCCATAGAGAGCAGCATTCGCCGCCGCTCACACTTCCTGGAGAAGGGGAGGGGCGATTCAAGTGCCTTCAGAAGATGATCTGCTCGAGTGTGATGAGTGTGCTGCAGCTTGACTCTGAATTGTGCGGCACTGGTAAACAATCAAACATTGTCAGGAGGATGTCAACACGGCGAGCATTGGGCGGTGCAATTCTTGATTATCATCGGCTGGTCGTAGTGCATGTCGTTCACGGGGAAAAAAAAATGAAGTTGACTTCAACAGAATTGAAACGTCTGATCCTACTGTACAGTAGTTTTCACATTGCTCAAAATATCGGTGTTGCTACTTGTAAGGAATTTTCTTGACATTCCTTAGCGCATCCTGCAACATCGCGTACAGCAGCAGCCGTTGTTCGCCTGTTACTGCTAAAGGGGCTTTGCCGACTTCGCGCTCACTGCTTCACCAAACCATGCACCGCTGGCCCGGCCGCAGGGCCTCAGATTCCAGGAATTTTACCCTGATTTCCTGATGTTTGACCCCGGTTTTTATTGTAACCCTGATGAATCAGCCTTTTTGTTTTTACAACCCTGATGAATCAGTGTTTTTCTTTTCCTAATCCTGATTTTCCAGTGTTTCTAGTTTGTCGACACTAACGAGTCAGTGTTGTATCGGAGACGACCCTGAAACCGAAAACTCTGTGATTCTCGTAGTTTTGCGCGCCGTCATCATGCATGAACCCACCCTGCACCGACGCCACCCTGCGGCGCGCCCAGATACAGTTGAACGGGTTAATTTCGGGCTGTGTTGGCAAAACGACGTAAAGAGATTGGCTGTCCCAGCTGAAGCAATGTACCGTTGTCACGTTGGATAACCTACACTTGTCATTACTTTCCATTGATGTGCACAAACAACCAAGCCTAGTGGCCCAGTGAGCGAGTGGTCTGCCTTGTTCTTTCCACCAAGGCAGGGCGTGCTGGGGCGGCCCGCTCAGGCACCCCACGCAGGGGGTCTCGTGATTCTGCCATTCCAGCTCTCCAGACTCCATCCCTTTCCGAAACATCAATCTCTGTAGTCTCCCTGAAGCCTGCTCGGCAGGCTCTCTCTCTCCCAGGGTTTCTCGTTACTCACCGATTCAGGAAGGTGACGTGAACGCGTCATGGCGATCACCGGTGAGAACAGCTGCGGTGATGATGACGACGATGCACTTTACGCCGCCACCGAGATGCTGGAGGCCAGAACGGGACTAGATTTTCTAGTTTCCGCGCTCTCCCATGAAAAAGAGAAGCCAGGTCCCGTCGCCTCAGTAGCAAACACTGGTGAAGCGTCTGGCCTCTGCCGCGGAGACGATCGTCCCCAGCCCGCGCATACTGCTAAGCCGGCCGTGCCGTCAGCAGCCGGACCGAGCGTCCGCTTGCCATCTCGTGCGTCGTCGTCGAAGCCTCCGCCTCGTTACAAGCAGGCCGTGCTCCGTTGGGCCGATCCTACAGATCCTGGACGTCCTCTCGCTGATGCCGGCGAGTCGGTAAACCACGTTACGCCCACGCCATCTAACTCTAAAAAACCGTCACTAACCACTCTGATTTACGAAGAGGCCCTTGAAACGTTCAAGTCGACGTGGTCGACCGACTACCCATGGCTCATCCTCATAAAAAACACTGCTGGCATGCCTGCGCTCAACTGCAGATTGTGCATCGACTTTGCAAGTGACGGTGGCAAGTGTGGCAAGAGTGGGCACGGTGCAACCGATCTTCAGACCCAAGCCTTCAAGCGGCATGCCGCGACGAACAAGCACCAGTTGGCCATCAATCACCAGAAGCAGGTGCTAGCTCAGGCTGGGATGCGCGGCTGTCGGACCTCATGTGCATGGCATTGCTGCTGTACGAGCCCGACTGGGCGGAGGTGGTGAAGATCTGGAGGGCATACAAGAAGCGCAAGCCCATCACAACAGTGGCAGCACCAAAGAAGCAACCTAGTGCTAAGGGGAAAGAGAAGGTGGACGAGGATGATGCTGGTGGTGCTGGCTCTGGGTGGGGGACAGAGACCCCCGTGCACAGGCACGGTTCTATGAGCGATGGTGGTGGTAGTGACGAAGATGAAGACATGTGTGTGATGTGAATTGTGTGTGCGGTGTGAGCGCCAAGCGGTCTGTGCCTGTAGTTAGATTAGAAGCTCATTAGAACCATATTTGAACTTTTCTTAACTTATTATACTTGTGATACCGGTAGTTGTTGTGGATTCTCACCGCCAGTGTATTTTTTTAAGTCACGCTGATGTGTCAGGTTTTTTTTTTTTCTAACCCTGAGAAATCAGTGTTTCTCCATTTACAACCCTGATTATCAGTGTTACAGCCCCAAACGACCCTGAGTGCTCAGGGTCACCCAAAACGAATCTGACGCCCTGCCCGGCCGTATCGGCCTGCGCTTCGGGACTAGCCCGAGCCTCGATGCCAGCCTAGCACTAGCTAGCTCGCACGCACCGCGTTACCGTTTGCATGTTTTGCGTATAAATATTCGCTCATGCTTTCGCTCACATTTTGTACTCGTTTGACACTTAGTGCAATCCACGCTACCTCGATGCATTGCACCAGTAACACTTGGTATCCATAGCCTCTTTCCTTTTGGACCGCGCATCTCCGCACCCCAGGAAATCAACTTTTGATTTTTCACTCGAAGGGACTCACACACCTTAGTGTCAAACATTATATATGTTGTGTTAGTTTAGGCTACAGTGGGTTAGCCTATAGGGGGTACACAATTCTAGGGTTAGGTACTTGTACTCATTTCACTGCTAGTTCATTCATTCCTGTTCAGTGATTCCAACATGGTATAGAGCAGGTCCTTCCTAGGACCGAAATTTTCTAAGGGCCCACCACTACGTAACTACCTACCTACCTACCTACCTGTGCCCTAGGGCGCCTCGGCGTGTCACGCCCCTAGAGGCCCCTCTTGACGGCCCCGCGCTAGCCCCGTTCAGGCCCCGTCGGCCCCATGCCCGCTCTCCCTAGCGGCCCCGTTCAGGCCCCGTCGGCTCCTTTAAGGCCCCGTTCAGGCCCCGCGCTAGCCCTGTTCAGGCCCCGTCGGCCCCGTTTCAGGCCCCGTCGGCCCCGCGCTAGCCCCTCTCAGGCCCCGTCGGCCCGCGCTAGCCCCGTTTCAGGCCCCGTCGGCCCCGTTTCAGGCCCCATCGGCCCCGCGCTAGCCCCTCTCAGGCCCCGTCGGCCCGCGCTAGCCCCGTTTCAGGCCCCGTTGGCCTCGTTTCAGGCCCCGTCGGCCCCGCGCTAGCCCCTCTCAGGCCCCGTCGGCCCGCGCTAGCCCCGTTTCAGGCCCCGTCGGCCCCGCGCTAGCCCCATTCAGGCCCCGATCGGGCCCGCGCTAGCCCCGTTTCAGGCCCCGTCGGCCCCGTTTCAGGCCCCGTCGGCCCCGCGCTAGCCCCGTTCAGGCCCCGTCGGCCCCTTGCTAGCCCCGTCAAGGCCCCGTTTGGCCCCGAGCTAGCCCCACTCAGGCCCCGATCGGCCCCGCGCTCGCCCCTCTAGGGCCCCAACCGGCCCCGTGCCGACCTCGCCGACCCGTGACCACCACATAGAGGCCCCGGGCGGCCCGTTCCCACCGCAGCACACGAGGGAGAGCGGACGGCCCGTCCCCGCCGTGACCCGAGCCGCGCGCCCCGAGCCGAGCCGCGCGCCCTGAACCGAGCCGCGCCACCCAGCCGAGCTGCGACCCGACCTGAACCGAGCCGCGCCGCCCTGCCCTACCTGGTTCGTCCTACCTGCTTCTCCTACTGCTACTGCTGCTATTTCTACTGTTCCTATGGCTAGCCCACAGGTTCTCGTGTTCGATGCTGAGGGCCGCCCTGTGAAGTTTGACACCTGGCTCGATGACCTGCACCTCTACCTACAGCTCACAGCCAAGGATGACATCTCACTGTACGATCACGCCCTAGGCCATGTCACTGCCCCTGCTGCTACTGCTGACAGCACTGCTCGCTCACAGTGGCAGACTCGTGATGCCCACGCTCGCTTCGCCATTCGCAACTCCCTGCCGATAGACAAACGCGAGCACTTTGGTCAGCACAAGACTCTACAGGCACTGTACACAGCTGTAGTTGCTCGCTACTCCTCACCTGCCTCTGCCGCACTAGGCCGTCTCTCCCTCCCCTACCTGTTTCCCGACCTGGCCTCCTTTCACACAGTCGCTGACCTCATCACGCACCTCCGTACTAGTGAGGCCCGCTTCCGTGCCGCCATGCCTGCTGAGTTCCTTGCCACGCACCCCCCTCCACTCTGGCTCACTCTCTACCACCTAGTCACCCGCCTCCCTGACACACTGCGTGCTGTCAGGGACCACTTCCTAGCTCGTTGCCCCACTGAGCTCACCATTGCCCTCCTCGAGAAGGAGCTACTTGCAGCTGAGACTAGCATAGTCGCTGTAGGTGCCTCTCGCCGCGACCCCCGTACCCCGTTCTTTGAGGGGTGTTCTCCTTCCCCCCTTCTTCCCTCTGTCGCCTCTGCTGCTGCTGTCGACCTTCTTGGTACTGAGAAGGTCGGCGCTGCGTCTGCCTCGAGCGGACGCCGCAGCGGCAAGGGCAAAGGGGGCAAGGGTGGTGGCGGTGACGGCGGGGGAGGCGGCGGTGGGGGCGGTGGAGGCAGTGGGGGTGGTGGCTCGGCTGGAGGGGCGAGTGGTAGCGGTGGGGGTGGTGGCGGCAGCGGCAGGGGAGGTGGCAGGAGTGGAGGCGGCGGTTGGGGTGGCGGTGGACGAGGCGGCGGCAGGGGTTGGGGTGGTCGAGGAGGTGGCAGCGGTGGTGGTGGCCGTGGAGGCACTGGCGGTGGCCAGGGCCAGCAGCACACTCCCTCGCCCCAGGAGGTCCGTGAGTGGTACTCTCAGCACGGGGGTGGGGGTGGTCTTAGCTGCACGTACGTCATTCGCACTGGTGACCGCACTGGTCAGCAGTGTGGACGACCGCACGCCACACAGCGCTGCTTCTCTCGTCTCGACGACGCTTGGCGTGTTCAGTTCCCTCAGGCCACTGCGCTGCCCCGCTGGCTTGATCTCCTGAAGAAGGGGATTGATATCTATGCTCTAGACTTTGATGCTATTCTATCTGCC